GCGGGGCGAGGCGGTAATCGCTCGTGGGTCCGTCTCCTGTGGCAAGGGGCCGGCCCGGGCAGTGGCCACGGGAGGTAGGGCTCCGAGCAGTTCTCCGCAGTCCGTGTATATATATATACACGTGTATATGCACGTAAGCGCGGGAGGTGGGTGTGCTGCGTCCCTGCCGCGTTCCCGCAGGTCTGGGGCATGACCTGCTAAGAGCTCTTCGTGGTAAGAGCAGCCTGTTCCCCTTGCGGCCTGCTGCCTGCCTGCTCTGGGGTTGCACCGCAGGGCTGCGGGGGGACAGAGGGGGATCAGGAGTGTGTCCGTGCTTCAGAGGCGGCTGGTCGTTGTCATACGTGGGTGTCTATACGTGTGTATATTTGTATTTTATAAGCCCTTGTACTGGTTTTCTCTCCATTGTATTAATTCCAGTGTGGAAAAAGTGCTTTGCTGTTTGTTGGACTCGGCTCCATCTGTGAGACTTAACAGTGGTTACTGTGGCACAATATTAAATGGCTAGTGATTAACTCGAAAACAACACATGGAGAAGCAGGAGCCACTCTGTACGTGCACGGATCAGAACACACCACAGTTGCATGCGTTCCCTTGTCCGATCACTCTGGGTCCTACAAGAGCTAGATGCGAATTCTGTTTTATATCTAAACAATGCTGATGGGACTTTCTAAACAAATGTTATTTTTTTAAAGCCTGTATTTTGTTAGGTGGTGTGAACCTAGTTGCTCTTGCACGTGTTATTCTTCTCTAGGACAGGAAGTGTGATAAATACATTATGAAATAACTACTTTTACACTTGCATTGTCATCAGTGGACAAGGTTGCTGTTGTCACTACTTCATGTTTTCCATATTTCATTCTTCACATGCAGTAAATATGTACTTTGAATCATAAACGGGCTTTAGGCATGCAGATCTCACTCATTGTTACAGGGTTTGGGGCAGGCCAGCTGTGCCTTCGGGAACTGTGCTGGTTTGTTTTCTAGACTTCTCTAATTCTTCAGTAGCCATTTCTTTCTGGATTTTAATCCTCTGCAGTCACTTTTCAGAACTGAAATGTATTATTTTTCCCAGTAGAGGTTAAAGTATACTTAGGAGGAAGGGATAACATGTACATTTTTTCCACTAAGGGTCAGAGTTGACTTTGGATCTGTCTTTCAAAAATTGTGGTTAGAAAATTGGGAAAATTGTCTTTCGATATATGAGAAATAATACTGTATAACTGAAAACTTCTCCTGGGTGGCATTTTCTGAATATATAGTTAATTTTGATACAGATTTTTTTTTTTTTGACCTGCATCCTTCTTAGAAGAGAAAATTAAAGTCTTTTCATTATACAATGTTTTTAAGCAGTGAATACTACTGAGGTTTTGATGCAAACTTAAAGCAGTATAGGTGTAGTTATTGCAGTGCCAGGGGTGCCTTAGCCTTTTGTATTGCTAAGTGCCCTCCATTTGCAACTTTGCTGCCTGCCTTTCAGCAGCTCTGTCCCCTTTCACCCAAGCTGCCCTGGCACTGTTGCAGAGCTTTTGGGGCAGTATTTTCCCCTTGTTTTCATGCTGTTGTCCTTATGACCTTGCAGCTGTGAATCCCAATAGTGTTTGGTGGGTTCTCCTGGGTAGCAA